GTATATATATATATATATATATATATATATTTATATTTATATTTATATTTATTTATTTAAAAGGGAGGGATTAAACAAAGGGAGTGGGTGTGGATAATGCCAGGGGATATGTGTGAAATGACAGGATTGAAAAATTGGATCAGGTGGCTGGGAAGGCTTTGCTGAGAAAGATGTTTGAGTAAAGAGTTGAAGGAAGAAATTATAGTTTGTAGCGAAAATGATAAACCAAGGCATGAGCAGTGTATTCCTCTCCTACACACCTTGGTACAATTACTGATTAATTGCTGTGTACTTTTCCAATATGCTCAGATGGAGTTTTAGAATTTCTCTCATGATATCATTAGGAGATACACTACCAGAGGGTAAGATTTAGCTCCCCACGGGAACACCTTACCACGCCTGCTTTTGACTTTCTGGAGTATATTAAGAAAAATTCCATATAGTCACACTATGTTCCTACGGTATGGAGTTGGAATCAAAACCCACTCCCCAAATATTTAACTGTCTCTTCTGTGCCATTGGTTACCTTCCGGTTGTGTCCATCACACACTTGCCCAAAGTGCAGGCACACTGGCTGTCGTGCTGCATCCCAAGGCTGTGCCCCAGCTGGTGTGCCATCCTGTTTGCAATTATATTCATGTCAGGTAAAAGATCCTGATGCCAAAAAAAGATGCGCGTTAGAAATGTCTACGAGCTAGCACACTGTAGCACACGGTGCTTTGAACGAACGGTTGAAATCTGTTTTATAGCTTCTGGTTAACTAGCACTTATTTGAGAGGCCATGGACTTAGTTACCCCTGTCTCCTGCCCCCCAGTTTCTTTAATTACATAATGAGGTTGGACAATGATGTTTTGAGTGTCTCTAAACCTATCATTTTGAAATTCTTTTTTTGTGCAACAATAATGGCCATTGTTGGAGTTACGTAGACACATTCTTACAAATAGCTAAACATTATTAACTAATGCTTTACCCAACAAAATAAACATTATTGGTTGTCTTCCATATACCAGATATTCAAAGGGGGTAAAGCTGAAAATATGCATGGTTCATGTTTTCAATGTATAGTCTCACACTACACAAAATTGTTATACAATCATGAGAATAGAGTTTCTACTGTGAAGAAAACCAGGTCAGTGCTGCAAAATCCAAAGGCAGTGTTGATTGTTACCTGTTTTTAGTTCTTTTTAACATTTTAATCTTTATATTGGTGAAAAAATATTAATTTCCAAAGGGGATGGGATATCAGGTTACTGTAAAAATAAAATACCCCTAATTTGGTAATTTTATCTTGCTCATTTTTGGTTTAAAATGTGTCCTAGATGGGTTATAATATAATAATTTGAGTGGTGACCTCCTATGTTAGATTAAATTGATTCTTGATGCAAAATTTGTGTTATTAAAATTCCATAGACAAAGTCATACAAAGAATCATAAAATAAATAGTTCATAAAGTCATTTTAATAAGTACTAGGATTTAATTTCAACTTCTTAACAAGATTGGGCTGAGCATAGCAACAACTAGGCAGAGACACTAAAAAAAAAAAAACCCAAAAAACCTAAGTCTTGATATTTTCAAAAAATTCTTAGATATGTTTACTTCGACAGTATTTACTAAAAGCTTAGTGACTTGGGAAAGGATCAAATAAACAAGGCGAGTCAGCAGTCTGAAGGTCTTGTGCTTTTGGAAAATGAATAACAAGTCTGCCTTGACATGATATTTTAAATGATCCATGCAATTTCTTTTCAGCACAAAAGCAACTATTCTCACTTGCTAAATCAGCCAAGCTTAATGAACTTTACATGTCCTTGTACACAACTATATTTAATATGCAAAAGAGCTTTTTAAATCTTTGCACATTAATCTGTATATGATGTTCTCTTAAACTCTAAACAGTGGTTTACCTTTATTATTCATCTATAGTTTCTCATAAAACATTTTCTCATTTAATAAAGGAAACATGTAAGTTCTATGATGACATATTTTGGTGGGAATATATGAAGGAATGCATGCATAGTCCCTTTCACTAGGACACATAAAACTTACAGAAATTTAATTCAAACTTTTTATTAAGTAATATAACATAAATAAAACACAGCCCACCTTCACGACACTGGAGGAATGAAAGGGCTGGCACATACCGCCTGGATAAGAAGTCCCTTGTGCATGGGTATAGAGCCACTTCCCACTATAAACAAGATGAAAATACACTCTTCAATCTGAGGTAGTAGTTTAATTAACACATAGGCCGAACTGCAGGGAACTCCCACAATGCTAACACCTTTGCAGGTTGAGAGTGTCTTTTCTTTGTTCTGGAGTTAAGGATAATCTCAGTTGACATTAAGCCCATTTCAAAACTGTGGTAGATTAGAGGCATTGAAAAAGTCAATGCAATATTAAGTTGAAATCATTAAACAAGTACTTTCTAGAAAACACACACAACAAAAACTAACAAAAAATAACCCCAACAAGGGTAGAGTCCCATTTTACTAGACTTGACCCTACGTTCAGCTTCAGATAAAATAAACTTGAAAGAACAAAAAAAATTAAATTAAAAATGTTCAGAGTGAATGGACTCAACACCGTGCTTAATTGGCTATGGTTGAAAAATTTTAAAAATGTTTAATCAACCACAAAAACTCCTAGAGAATTTGATGGTTATGATCATTTAAAAGAGTTGTCACATGAAAACATGACTATTCCTGGATTACCTAATAAGACAGCTGCAGATGTGTATATTAAAGGAATCTAAATTTGGCATGCCTTCAAGAAGAACATTTAGAGTTGGAACACCTTAGAGAGAGCTATCATGGGCTGGAGGGCCACACTTGGAGTGGAGTAGAAAGGATTTAAATACAAGAAAGGTGTCAGGCTAGATGACCCTTTTCAGTCTTTAACTTTTTCAACCAAGAAGATGTGTTTTATTTCTTTCTTTATAATTGAAATGGCCCTGTGCCTACATTTCAAAGTCTCAGTATTTGACTACACATCTTGGAGAAACTTAGAATTCTGGTCTTCCTAGACTCTGAGGATCTTGGGAGAGCATCACCTATGGAGATGAAGCACCGGAGAAAGCACGGTCCAGATTCTGACTTTGCTCATAAACACTTAAAACCAAAAGTCACACCTTGACAATGCCATATACAGTGCCTTGTTGCTTCTAGATCTGTGTGAATATAGAAGGGAAGATACAGAAGAAGCTCAACACCTAAGAAATCCCAAACATAGTGCCCATTAGGCGTTTAGGAGCTCTCCTCACCTCGTCGTTTCTCTATTTGTAGACATCCTATTGGTGAGAGAAGTTACTTCTCAGAGTAAGAGACATTCCTGGAATTAAAAGTTTTCCACTTATACCCGTTGAAATATTTTTAGGTTAACTTATTAAGTATTTTAAAACACATGTCCAAGGAATTTGCCCACTATGAAGGTTATGGCGATATTTTACTGTACCCCTCATAATTTTAGGTCATGCTAGTTCAGGAAAACCCAAGCCCAAGCCTGGTACATGTTTCCCCTGTGGGACATCCCAGATATGAAAGTCAGAAATGATATCACTTTGGAGGTCTGGCTCACTCTCATTCTGACCAAGGGCTGGACCTGACCTCTGACCAGAGGCTTTGGGAGCTTCCAATGGTCACAAGCACCTTTGCAGGCTGTGTTTGCAGACCTTCCTTAGGAGAAACACCGGCATTGTAGGTAGATGAAGTAGGTAAAGTGGGTACCCATCTTTTATAGCAGCTTTAAGGGCATCAGGAGAGATGCCAAAAGACTCCATTGCTCCAGAGTTGCTCTTCCATAACTTAGCATTCCTTGCAATCACAGGACGACTCAAAACACAGGGCTGACGTCAGCTCAGATCCACAATTATTTTATCATCTCCCCATAGGCTGAGTAATATGCTTGGGTATTTTGAATAACAAAAATGATTTAAAAATGGCTCCTGTTTTTAAGAATGAATCACCTACATATTCCAGATGAATTCAGACTTTCTCTTAAGAATATTAGAGCTATGGCAGTTTTAATTTATCACATCAGTTTTCTGTTATTTGGAGTAGTAAAGAAGATGCTCTTGAACCACCGGTCACTGGATGGGCACACGGTGCTATTGGGAAATGTTCAGAGAATAAGGCATTTTCCCAGAAAAGTTGACTTTGGGGGAGCATTGGAATAGTGTGGTGTGGAAGGCTGAAGGGGGCAGTGTTGAAAGAGGAAAAGGAAGGTAAATGGATTCTAAAAGTGCTTTACTTGCCTAACAGCATTCCCAACCCTGCCCAGGAACATGAATGCATTCGATTTTTATTAGAAAGAAAGCTTATTAAAAAGTTCATATGGAAATTTTCTGTGCAATTAGATGTAACTTTTTGTCCCTGTGTACTATCCAAACATGTCAATTGCCTCAGCAAATATTTTGGCTGTTCACTTGCTTTGTTTTCTTTTTTAATAATCTTCCTAAGCTATGCAGGGAAGTAGAGCAGTTACATACCTGAGTAACAAAACATGATCATAGCTCTTCCTTTTTTTAAGGGTGGTTTGTTGCCACTCTGAAAAATGCAATAAAGTCGTTTCTATATCGGAATCTACTTTTATTTTATCTCCATTTGTCCATATTTCAAGGCCAACCAATGTAATATGGATGTCGAAGGTTTTATAGATCTGTTCAAAAAAGAAATAATTTTTTACAAAGTCAAGTTGCAGAAGGATCCTCAACACGAGCGTATACTTTTACATTTAAAAAAGTAATTTTAATGTGTGAGGTACGTAAGCAAAAAGTGCAGGCTTCAACCAGAATAGTCGTATTGAATGAAACCTAATGTGGGGTGAATCACTCAGAATCCTGGGTGAATGGCCATGGTCAACAAAGAAATTAAACTAAAAATGCTTGAATCCCCTCGACCTATCATAAGCCTTATAGGCACTGAGCTCAGAATGTTCTAGAAGAAATAATTTAGTAAAACGCCGAGATTACAACTGACCTGAAATATGAATATACTAATAGTAGCACACAACGGAATGAATGCTCTTTCTTCATTTCTCTCCTTTCAGAGAGTTGGTTCTGCGGCAGATCAGAAAGTTGACATTGGTTTTCAAAAACCAATCGTTAGCTGCCATGCTTATTCTCTGGAACTACTTTGTTGTCTAAGAAATCTTACTGTGGATTGCCCAAAACAGGAAGCAACAGTTGCAGCCCATAAGCCTTCTCACCTCTATTCCCGCCCGCTTTTGTAAATACCTAGTTAATATATACTTGATGCCAGGACAAAAGAAGACAGAGTTTAAGCAAATACAGCAGTGGGCAAAAGTAGGTTTACAGTTGTTTGTATGGAAAATAATACAATGATTAATAAATAATAATACAAGGACAGACCCTCCAGCTAGATCCAGCTAGATCTGGGCTAGAACAGAGATTGCTTCCCATAAATCCCCTCAGTCTGTCTGTCCCCCTCCCCTGTGGGCAATATGGGTGATAAAAGGCCAGTCAAGGGGATATGATGGAAGGGGTCAAGGACTTGTAGACCATGCTACTTTAAACTGTTTGTGGTATGACCTCCCAATCTAAACTGAAAATGTTCAGCTATGTGCCACAATTTTGTGTTTCTATTTACTTTGGAGATGAAAAGCCAAGGAAAGAGATTGAGTCTTATATTTGGATCAATGTTAGGGGAATGATAAAGACAATTACAAGATTAAGAAGTAGGAAAAAACGGAAATGACTTTGAGATACACTCATTTCATTCTACATTGCTCCTATATTTTAGAAAAAGTCACAGGGAGAATTTTTAATTTCTGTAGACATAAATTTAAATTTAAGAGGAATTCTGCTTCTGTCTAAGATGTACACAGTCGTAAAGAGTGCTGCTTCTACCCTGACCAAAAGAAAAAGCTAGAGAATCTATGAAATTCTACCTTTTATTGAAACCATGAGAGCTGATGGAATCAGGCAAATGCATAGCCTGAAATCTAAGGAAATACAGACTCCTTCTAGGAGAAATGGTGCAAGAGCATCTCCCAGTGGCAGAAAATGAGAAAAAGAGATTCTCTGTGCCAAACAGGCAGATAAGAAGAATCCACCAACTATTTTTAAGGAATTGCTAAAAAGCAAGTGTGGGATAGAATGAGAGTATAGGACCTTCTGGGAGACACAGACACAAGGAATTATGCCCAAGTGCAGACTCTTTTGCATAAATACAACGGAGGGCAGCGTGGGAGACTGGAGATATCCTCCCTCGGGGGTATGGGCCTGAAGAATGGGAGCAACTGCTGCCTTGGGAACATCTTAAAACCTCTCCATCCCCTCTTGAGAAACAAAGCCTTAAGCTGTTGCGGGAACTTCAGCAAACGTTTTCTTTTGCAGGCCCAGAACTCAAGTGAAGACCTACTGTGGCCGAAAGAAGGGGAAAGAATAACACCTACCCCCAGAGACGAGGGAGGACATGGTCTTGAGGCCAGACCATTCAAGGCCTCCAGCAAAGCAGGGAGAGCGTGAACACTGAGAATAGCTCCCCAGTGACCCACGGGCAGGACTTTCCTAAGACCAAGCATAGATCAGGGTAAGAGAAAACACGCTGGTTCCCATGCCTAGGTCAGCAACTACTGAGCCACAGACAAGAACAGAATACTCCTGATAAGTATGTGAAAGAAAAACCTTTGAGCACTAGCCCTTGACAAAGGCCTGAGGCTGAGGCTGAGGCAGGAACTGCCTCTCCAGCAATCCAGGACCCACTCTAAGCACAGGGTAACGCTACAGGGATCTGAAGCTCTGGTGCACTATCGGTAACAATAGCAATAGCAAAACCCTAAAGCAGTGTCCTTGCTGATGAGACTGATTTAATCCCATTTGTGAATGGCCTGGCCAAAGAAGAAGTGTACATTTCCAGGCATAAGCACTATTTCCTCCATCCCTACTCTCCTATACATAATGTCCAGGATCCTATTAAATATTAAAGAACACGCGATAAAGCCAGGAAAGACAACCCACTGTTTGAGAGATGAATCAACAAAACTAGACTCCGAGATAAGCCGAATGTTGAAATTCTCTGACAGGAAATGTAAAATAATAGTTATTAATATGTGAAAGCTCTAGTGAAAAATATGGATGTGATAGGCAGAATTCTAACAAAGATATATTAAAAATTTTCAAGTATTTGGAAATTAGGTGACACACACATATATAACCACTGAATCCAAGAGGAAGTAATAAGGGATATTAGAAATATTTTGAATTGAATGAAAATTAAAAATAAAACATATCAAAACTTGTGAGAACAAGCTAAAGAGCATATACTTACTTTTTAAAAATTTATCTTCATTGTGGGAAGTACTATAGATGTCCCCCCCATTCCCCATTGACCCCGTCCCCCAACCCCAGGCCTTCAGCGCACTATTGTCTGCGTCCATGGATTATGCATATATGCAAATAAGTTCTTTGGTTAATCTCTCCTACTTACTGTTCGACCCAGCATTCTTACTTCTTAGTCATTTACAAAAAGAAAATAAAAATTTATGTTTGTATATACATCTATATGTGAATGCGTAAAGAAATCTTACTCATTATAGCAAAAGCTAGAAACTGCTCAAGTGTCCTTCAACTGGTGAATGAACCACCACTGACCGAGATGGGGCTGCTCAGCACAGCATCTTCCTTTGGGCTCTCTTTATCCCAGTGATGGAGCTCGATGACTTAGAAGAGCCGATGACTTAAGAAAAATACGTACAATTCACAGTATTGCTTTTTAAGAAAAGTTATCATTAATCCTATATTTTACTAAAATATTTTCCCTAATTTCTGTTTCAAAATATGGAAAATAAATTACAGCTTGAAAACCTTTTTGCTGTGCAAGGTAGTGGGGCAGTAATTTAAAATAGTGGATTTGATTTTTGCATGATGGGTATTGAAATCTTTGTAGACTGCTTTATAAGTTTTTGTGATTAGTGACCAATATTTGAAACTCATTTAAATGTTTAATTATTAAGTGCCATTTAGTTAGAAAGCCAAAAAACTCAGACCTGTAGTTCATTTGTTACTGTGAATTTTTCAATGAATTTCTGCTATTTTATCTACTGGGTGAATTTTTGTCTTTTGGGCTATCTCAGAAATACCACAAAAAAATCAGCATTATCTATTCCAGAAGTTTCTTTCTATTTGCATTTTACCTCGATTTAAATTGTATAAAATCTTACCATGTTGACAAAGTTGACCATTCCCCAAATTCGGTTCCTCAGTTTACTGTGAGGATAATTATTCCTGTGAAACTGGAAATATAAACATCAGATCAAGATGTGTTAATAATAGGATACACACTCAACAAACTTCACCCGTTATCAGATATTCAGAGAAAAAGTATCATTGGTATTCCTTCCACTCAGCTAAAAATCTGGGCAACTTAGGCAAAAAATATATATATTTTTATATAAAATAGATACAGCACTGTCAAAAGACATGCTTTGACTTAGCAACTACTTTAAATGTTTTTATAACTGTGTCCCCTTTCACATTTAATTATATTATATTAGATGATTTATCAAATCAACTAATAAGTGTTCTTTAGAGTTCATATTTATCATGCTGATGAAATGAAACTTATTAAAGCTCCACAGCAACCATTATATTGCAAGAAAACAGCAACTTTATCAGCTGTCCCTGTCCATGATGGTCACAAACTGAGAAACATGCGATCAAGGGGCAGCTGGAGCCACAGATGTGAGGAAAGGGGCACAGAATCGTTGCTTGCCCTTCTTTCCAGGAAAAGACTAGGAAGGAGACACCGACTTTCCTGCTCTGGACTACTCTTTTTTTTTTTCTCCTTTTAAGGCAATTTACTTAATTTTTTCCTTTTTATTGAATTTATTGAGGTGACACTGGTTAACAAAATTATGCAGGTTTCAGGTGCACGATTCCACAACACACCCTCTGGACACTGTATTGTGTGTTCGCCACCCCAGGTCAAGTCTCCTTCCATCACCGGCCTATTCTGACTTCAGTTGTCTTCTTGCAGATAGATTCCCTATTTCTGCCATCAGGACCTTGTTCTCAGCATTATCAGTTTAGACCTGATAAAATATATTTAATAATAACATAAGGTATCGTGTAGGGAAAAGGCAAATAGTCAAGCTTCTTACCTAATAAAAATAGGAAATATTTTCTGAATCCTGCAGGTGTCCCCTAATTACCATTTCATTGCTGTCCTTTTATCTGAACTATCTACATACCTCAAAGACATAACATTAGAATCTCTTCAGTTATCATCTTCACCCACTCCTCAGCTTACGACGCATTGGCTTGGCTGTCACTGTTTCATTGAAACTATTCTTGATAAATGTCCTCTCAGTCATCAATCCATGGGACACGCTTCCCTCGTCTTCCTGGTCATATGGTTCACGTTTAATATTGACCGTTTTCTCTTTCAATAAATTTCTAATCACCTTGGATTTCATTATTCTATACACTTCTCGTGTTTTACTGTGCACAGATTTCTCTTTTCTCTTTTCCATCATCCCCTTAGATTCTAGATGACAGATATGTTTTCACTCCAGGATTCCTGTTGATGAACGGGCAGGGCTGGCTTCTCAACTCGAAAAAATCCACAGTTGAGAGGGATTCTGAGGCCATCGGAATAGGGTACTTACTTTATCAGATTGATTTCTGCCCATAGGGGTGAGGAACAGGGATAACTATGGGGGTCTTTGCACTTTTGTTTCCAAATCTTTACTAAAGGTTTAGTGTTCCCCAAGATCAGACATCTGTGCCCTGCTTTCTCTTTCAACAACACATCATCTTGCTCCCTCTGGGCGAAAAACAAACAAAAACAACCACAACAACAACAAAAATGGAAATTTCCAAGTGCTAAAAATAGAGAAGAAAATTGCTGTTAGAGTAGTAAGCAAAATATCCTCCATCTACGTAGCTGCTTAAAGCTCATCCCCTTGCTTTCAAGGTGTGTCAGGCCCTCAGTGTGTTTTCCAAAGCTGCCTTTGTTTTCCTTTTCATTCTTACCAAAATACCCTAACTCTTAGCCTTTATTAATAAGTTATTATTAAGAACAAAGTTTATCTTAGCGTCCTTTAAAAAAGTTAGTTAACTTGTTCTTATCAACATGCTGATGAGCCTATCTATTGATTAGTGCTTAGAACTTGGCAATTCATTTTTTAAAAATTTTGCTTTTCCCATGCATTATGTTTTCCCTGCCCTTTGCCACAGGCAGGCAGAACACTTTCTTTCTCTTTGTGTTTTTAGTGCACAGAAATTTTCTAGTTCCCTTTTCAGGGTTGGGTCAGCCGTTTATGGCTCTGGGCATCATACACTATATTCTCCATATTGTGGGTCACAAAGCCTTTGAATTTTGCTTACTACTCTAACAGAAATTTTCTTTTCTATTTTTAGCACTTGGAAATTTCCGTGTTTTTTGTTGTTGTTGTTGTTTGTTTTTTAGCTCAACTATAGAGTATGAATATAGTTTTAATTTTTTATATGTTGTTCAGCATTTTCATATGTTTGTAATGGGGAGAGTAGTTCTATTTTGGCTCAGTCTGCTGTACTGCCAAAGGATCCAATCATCTCTTATATAAATCTGTTTTGGGAAGCTAAAGAGAGATTGAGCCCAGAATGAAATTCTGATTAAATTTTTTTCTTTGTTAAAATCACAGATCTAGTTTTATAAGGACGAATGAAGAGAAAATGTTCATGCGAAAACTTACCACGCTACTATCAGCAACAACAAACAGTTCAACATACTTTTCTGCATGGGTGATCTGGAAATTTATAAAAAAAATTAATGAAGTATTATTACTATTTCTTATTTTAACATTTTCAGCTAACATTTGTAAGGTAAGACATGATACTTTTTATCAATACAAGGAGGTGAGGTAGAGAAGTGTATTTAATAATTCTAGAAAGTTATCTAAATAAAACCCATTATATTATTAAAACATGTGACCCTGGACATCAGATTGTAATCGACCTGAAACAACATTCTATATTTGATTATCCATTTTTCTTTGTTTAGTCTTTCAAATAAAATGAGTTACAAATTTAAAAATTATAAATCTAGTTTTTAACATTAGTTCTTTTTTATTTACAAAGTAAATACTAAGTAAGCTCTTGTTAAAAAAAGAGGGAAGGAAAGGAAGAAGGAAGGAAGGAAGGAAGGAAGGAAGGAAGGAAGGAAGGAAGGAAGGAAGGAAGGAAGGAAGGAAGGAACCATCTGTATAGCTCAGAACTAACACAGAGTTAGCCTATAGGCAGGCTAATAGGACTGGTTGTTTTTCATTTACTCACACTCCTCTCTCCAAACCTCCTTTGGTGCAGTGGTCTAATTCCAAGCAAACATGTATAAAAGTCGCTAATTACAGATCTTTTATAAAACACCAATACTAAGAAATTCTAAGTTTTGGGTGGCATACATTAAGGTACATGCATATTTTCTGAGTATAAATCAGGGACATATTGTTCAAAGACTAAGTTATTTGTATGTGGACTAATTAATCATTGATTGATTGATTGATTCAATTGGACCATGAATATATGAAAATGAACATGCTTGGAGCTTAAAGGCTATCACCCAGTGATGATTTAAGGAGATATAAATTGGTTGTAGAGAAAATGAACTTATTATTACTCTTAATTGTCCTTAACAGTGAGAACATTTGGCCTGATTAAAGGTAGAGAACCTGGCTTATCAATTCCTGGAAAATGGCAGAGAAGACATGGGCAGACAATATCTGGGATAGGTTTCAAGACAACGTAAATTTCATTCTTTCCAGCATATGTAGCTCTAATGCTGTAAACCTATACATACATTGTAGATATTCCCCTTCTTGAAATCGATGGGACAAACTGAGATTTACTGTATGGAATGATCACTTTTCATATAGTTAACAAATACAAATGTTTGACATTTCAGATTTCAAACAATAAAAAGTTAGATTCAGGTAGTATGTCTACTTCACTCATTGGGCTCGTAATTTCTTTCTTGAGATCATAAAAGAATAGAGAAAAAAGTAATTTAAAAATAAAGAACTCACTTCCGTTTCGGAGCCTTTCATGGATTGAGTAGTATTTATTGGAACAGCTGTCCTGGTAAAATTGGGTTCTATACAAGAATAATTGAACGCATACTGCATCTTTGGGTTATATTTGAATATCAAATGTTCTCCCTCATCTGAGTATTTCACTGGCTCAATGAGGTACCTTTGGTCAGATACCCTGAAGAATCCCCTGTGGAGATTGAGAATATAATGTATAGTTAAGACTTTTTACTATTACATTACTATGCAAAACTACTCTATTCCATTTTTATTGATGTTGTCTTTTTTTCATTTTTTATTATATATTTTATAATTCCTTCCAAATTTGGTTCTATTTTCAGTTTTAACATATGTACTTTCCCCCCCTTTTATTATTTTCCCCCATCACCGTTTATCCCCTATAGACCCTCTCTCACCTCCTCCCCTCCTCCCCTCCCATGCAGTCACCACACCGTTGTCCGTATCCATGAGTTCTTTCTCTCTCTCCCTCTTTTTTTCCCTCTCAATCCCTTTACCTCTCCCAACACCCCCCCCCACCACCACCACCACCAGAGCTGTCTGCTTGCTCTCTGTCTGTGAGCCTGTCTCTATTTGCTTGTTAGTTCAGTTTGTTCATTAGATTCCACATATGAGTGAAATCATATGCTACTTGTCTTCCTCTGACTGGCTTATTTCACTCAGCATAATGCTCTCCAGGTCCATCCTTGCAGTCACGAAGGGTAAAATTTTCTTCCTTTTTACAGCCAAGTCGTATTCCATTGTGTAGATGTCCCACAGCTTTTTTATCCACTCATCTACTGATGGACATGTGAGCTGCTTCCAAATCTTGGTTATTGTACCACTACAATGAACACAGGGGTGCATATATTCTTTGGAATTAGTGTTCCGTGTTTCTTCGGAAAAATTCCCAGAAGTGGGATCACTGGATCATAAGGCAGCAACATTTTACATTTTTTGAGGTAACTCCATACTACTTTCCACAGTGGCTGCACCAGTCTGCATTCCCACCAGCAGTGCACAAGGGTTCTCTTTTCTCCACACCCTCGCCAACATTTGTTTGTTGACTTATTGATCACAGCCATTCTGACAGGTGTGAGATAATATCTCATTGTGGCTTTAATTTGCATCTTTCTGATGATTAGTGACGTTGAGCATCTTTCATATGTCTCTTGGCCATCTGTGTGTTCTCTTTGGAAAAGTGTCTATTGAGGTCCTTTGCCCATTTTTTAATGGGATTGTTTGGGTTTTTTTGGTGTTGAGTTTTATAAGTTCTTTATAAATTTTGGAAATTATTCTTTACCAGATGTATCTGTGAGCATGTTCTCCCATTCAGTGGGTTCTCTTTTCATTTTGTTGATGGTTTCCTTTGCTGCGCAAAATCTTTTTAGTTTGATGTAGTCCCATTTGTTGATTTTTTTTCTGATGTTGCCTTTTAAGAAAAGGGAGCTATAAAGGCAAAGCCTCATGAGCATGCATCCAGGTGTTTTGAGTGATAAATATATTGAGATAACATGTCGTCTTTGATTGAATTAATAACTTTTTATAAGAGTCAGCTCATCGGGATTTTTCAGAAGTTTGACAGCCCAGTCTCTACTTTGAAATATTAGGTAGTGTAGCAATTCCCACCTGGGATTGTAGATCCCTGGCAAGTCTCAGATTTCTTGCAAAAATGCTGTGAATATTTATGTCCAACATGCATTAATTGTAGAATATACATTAAAGTACAAATACAATTATGTGATAATTTTGTTATTAAAGCGGTTCTCATACTTAAAAATACTGGGAACTACTCAAGTCAACTCCTCACCAAAGGAGACAGGAATTTCTTCTTCTGTCTTTGCCTTCCCACATCTTTCTCCTTTGTACTTGAACTAACGGTCTACAGAGGCTTCACCTTCTATAGGCTTCACGGTGTTTTGCTTTCTAGAGACCGTAAACACTGTGAAGTGTGGTGGGAATTCATAGGACTGGAAGTCAGGAGACCTAGTTTGGACTTAAGTCTACAGCTAGCAAATAGAATGCCGAGGAGCACATCTCTGATTTCAATACCCTGACATATAACACGAGATTTCCAGGACTCTTCAAACACTGAATCACATACTGAAAAACCTGTCTTGCTTAGGGTTGACACTAGACATCTTTTTTATCGAAAGCGAACAAAAGCAATGGACTAAAGTGGATACTCATGCTGAAAATACACAGTAGGTTTTTCCCATTAGTTTTTCTATTTACCAGGGTTGTTAAAAAGAAAGATGAGAAGTCAATTTCTTTAAAAAAAAATCCTGCACATATGCATAACCCATGGACACAGACTGTGCGGTAGGCCTGGGGAGGGGAGGCGCAGGAGGCAGGGGCAGGCAGGAGGAAGGGGGTGGAGTGGGTCAAAGAGGGAAAAAAAGGGGAGATCTATAATACTTTCAACAATAAAGATAAATGTTTAAAACTCCATAGAAAAACTCATAAACAAAATGGAAAGATCCTGTGCGTTACCTGAGACCATTGCACGTGCTGATACTGGCAGCAGAATCGAATTCATGTATGATGGATCCTTGGTAAAAACAGTGATCCTAAAACAGATGAAGAGGCTACTGATATAAGGCCACATATTGACATATATAAATAAAATAGCTACATATTATATGTTCGCATTATATCAGTATTTCATGCTCACAAATTACATTTATACTCACACATTCGCTTACTGAGTTAGTTCATTTGTAAAATTTTGAAACAACCTTAGAATCTTTTTATTTTAATTGCATGATTACTTTCTGTAATATTACTACTTTCATCCATCCTAAAATTTCTACCAAACTACCCCTCCTGTGTTATTATAATTTTCGTCTAGTTGAGTTGCCTATGAAATCAAGCCAACGTTTTTGATGATTGCCGAACTTAGGTCTCACGCTCCAGCCAGGTTCCCAGATGCCTTCCTCTCCTAGCTCTCTGCCTCTGCCAAGTTGGTGTCTTTATCATTCCCTACTTGGTGCTCTGCCCATGGTGATCCCATCAGGTAGTAACTCCATCATTCCTATGTGTGCAACTCCCCCCTATATGTGATGCTTTCCGTGAAACCTCCAGGGACCTCAGACTCTCACAGGCCAACAACCACTTCCTGCATGAAAGAATGTTCCCAGTTTCCTTCCTGTTCTATTTTACAAAGATTGCGTAATGACTTAGATTTCATAGTTGATAGTTGCCTTAAATAGAGGAAACTGGTTTTAAAAAGTATGCCTTTGGTAAGAGAATACTGTTTTCTTTGGTGAGAAGGCTCCAGAGGGCATGCTCTGGAAAGGTGAATAAAGTTAATAAAAAACAGAACCTGGATCCACTGAAATAAAATTAATGATAAATAAACAAAGATTTTTTTGGAGAACGAAGGTGAACCCTCATTTTTGGTGTGTCAGAAGGATGGGGCGAGGGTATGTGACTCACTTAAGGTTCAATTAGATGAGGGGTTTAAAATCACCTCATTTATTTAGGTTTTATTCATTTAGTTTGATTACAATCTCATCAGGGTGCCTTATACTCCTTTGGCGTCCTGCTTTACCCTTCCTCCAGAATTCTGGGGTTCATAAAAGCCAGTTTGGTAGAGAAAGATACATTAGTAGTCATGTATTTGCATGTTAGGCAGTGATTGGTCTCTTTTTGAGCTCAAAGGGTCCCATTTTGTATTCTAGGATCATTCAGTGGCCATAGTCAATGCAGGATTCACTTCTGATGTAACTCTTTCTGCCGCTGCTCGTAAAGCTAGGATCGGGTTCAAAATCACACGAGGAAATAAGAGTTTCGGAGAAGAGACATAGGAAGGTTCGATAAGATACCGAGATAGGAGGATGCCTGGTGAGTTCCTCTCCTTTTCTGGAGTAGTAGGTTTCACTGTAATTTGAGGCTAGGAACTCCCTGGAAAAGAGGAGAGAGGTACTGAGACTTACTCATTTTTAACAGTTAATAGATAAAACCAATTAGGTGAGAGAGAAGCCTCCAGACTGCTTTCAAATCTCAGGAAGTCCTCTTGTGCTAACAACAGATAAGCAAAATCAATCCCACTCACAGGGAAAACCTTTCTACCTAGATTTCATGGTTTGGTAAAGACTGTAGAAGAGACAGGAAAATATTCTGACAGTTTTAGCAAGGAAGCATCTTGAGAAGAGCCTAGAGAAAATATTTTAGTAAAAATCGCTTGTCTTAGGAGTCAAAATTAATGCAAAAAAAATTTAAAAATCTCATTATAGACTATAGAAGTCACAGGAAAGGAGAAAATGCCAGCAATTTTTGCCAAAAGAAATAAAAATTCTGTCAGCCCATAATTTCATATCTACAAAAAATGGCCTCCGAGAATGAAGAAAAAATAAAGACCCTTTCAAATAAAACAGAACGTCATAGTTCATTTTTATAGAAGTTTAGGTAACACAACTTTGTGCATTTGTCAAAATTCAATGAATGTACACTTCAGGTTTGTGCATAGCATTATAAAAATTTTTACATCAAAAGAAAAACCTGTCAACTCCAATGATATACTTGTTTTTTAGGGGGAAGTATATTGATGTTCAGAGTATCATTAGAAATGCATAAAAATAATGGAGAATGGATGGATGGATAGAGAAAGAATTATGATGTAAAACAAGCATAATAAAATATTAATGGGTATATATATGTATATATGTATATCTTGATGGAATTATGGGTACATGTGTATATTAATGAGTATATAAATGTTCACTATCAAATTCTTTCAACTTTGCTCTATGCGTAAACAGAACTTGGTTTGATATCTATTGAAGTTACTTTAAGAACCATGATTTTCAATTTTCTTTTGTTCCACAGATTCACAAAATAGTTGTGATAGTATTTTTAGAGTATGTGGAGCTCAAAGCACTCCAGTACCCCAAATAGGGAGGAAATTCGGATCAGGAGACCAGTAGCTATAATGGTCAGGCTGTTGAAATGAGGTGCACTCACATTAGAAGGGCAAGAATTGAGACTATGGACATACAACAATGACTTGAATTCACTTCACTTGCAGTTTTTACAAAAACTATAATACTATAGACTAATAAATCAATGTTACTGAATCATAATAGGTCTTACCTTGATCTTAAAAGGTGAACTATTAAGGTTTTTTTACTTAGACTTATTTCATACAACAATTCGTCATCATAAGTTTCCTGAAAAACAATATTCATCACATGACTTAAATATGTGCTCCTATTGTTAACATCTTAACATTACTATGGTGTATTTGTCATTACTGATGAACCAAGATTGATAGTACAATTGAAGTCTACACTTAGCCAGATTTCCTTAGTTTTTGTCTAATGTCCTTTTACTGCTTTCACATTTCATCCAGGACACCACTTTAGTTTATTGTCATGTCTCTTTAGGCTTCTCGAGATGATGACAGTTTTTCAGACTTTCCTTATTTTTGATGACTTTGACAGTTTTGCAGAATACTGGTCAGGTATTTTGTAGGCTCTCCCTCAATTTAGGTTTTTATGACTTTTTTCCATGCTTAGACTGGGATTATGGAGATTTGGGAGAAAACAAAATAGAGCACCATTTCCATCACATCATAGCAAGAGTACATACTTGCTAAGAAGTCACCACATGACTTCTCACTGGTGATGTTAACCCTGATGACCTGGTTGAGGTGGCATCTGACGGCTTTCCACTGTAAAGTGATACTTTCCCCCTTCCACATCCTACTTTTTGAAAGGAAGTTGCTAGGCACAGCCCATGCTTAAAGGGTGAGGACCTATGCTCCACCTCCTAGGGAAGGGAATAGCTACATCAGTTTTTGTTTTTTTTTAAAATATTCTTTATTGGCTATTTGTCCATTCTCCCACTTATTTACTTATTAAATCATCTATTTATATCAGTACAGTGTCATAGGCATTAATTTATACTTTATATTATGGTCCTAAGCTATGTTATTTATTGTGTTTTGTTCAAATTGGTTTTTCTTTGGCCACTGGGAGCTATTTCAGTTGACTCCTATGTTCTTCTAACACACTCCCCTCATTGTGGGTTCAGCTTGTTTGTTTGAGAACTTCTCTGCTTCCTGGTACTACAAGGTGCTCCAAACTCATCTTCTGTATTTCCTGCCTCAGTTCATGGTCATCTTGTATATTCATTATGGAACTTTACTATCAGTCTTGATTAAGTCTTGAGATAATAGATGCCAGAAGAGCCCACCAGCTTTGACACAATGGGTGACAGAAAGCTGGTTTTGCCCTCTTAGCTGAGTACCAACATTCAACCAGTAAAAGGTTTGAGAAGGTGAAAAAAGACTTGGAGTTCAAGACAAATGTATCTGTAAGGATATTATTAGACAAAAATATTTAGACATTATTTTTAAATGGCAGCAGATAAGGTTGCTTTTTTGTCATTTTAAGCCATAGGGAAGAGGCCTCAATAGCACATTTGGAATGTTGACATGTGTCATATTTATGACTGAGAAACCCAACAAGTGAGAGCTTGGGAGGCTGGCTCTTCTAACGGTGGAGGGAAGGCAAGTCATTGCACTGGGATAGGTTTGCCCTCTCAAGAAGTGTTGGGGCAGAGTGACAGTCAGTATTCTCTATGGGTCAAATTAAAAACCTAAGGCTCAAAATGCAAGTGCTGCATAACAAGTATCTAAGGGCTGTCATTGAATGTCTTTTATCTTAGTGGGGATTGAAAATAACCCCATTTTAAAGCTTGTGCCCATGATGTGTATTATATATTTTCTACATAAGTAAACATTTAATACTTTAAAAAATACAATTGTAACTGTTTTTACTTTTAACACCTGAATAAATATTCTTTTAACCAACAGGCCAAGTAGGCCTTTTTGTGGCTGTGTAAGTTGTCCAACTTTGCTGCAAAATCTGTAAGGTAAATAAGCCTGTGTATCAGATCACTGTGAAAGCAACGTGCCCCGAGATTACAGTCCACAGGGAGCCAACTCAGAACAAATGAGGTTGCCTTACATCAGTCTGGAAAGCTGTTAGTGGCACTCCTCACATAAACTGGGAAATGTTGAATGGCACCCCCTAAAATCTGAACTTTATTCCTTTTAGTTTCCTAACTTGTCAAGGGGCTGCTTTCCTCTTACCCTCCACCTCCCACCCACCCAAGCACAGGCTGATTGGGAGTCCTGAGAAAAATGGGGACCTCTTTCTTGTTTGCTCTTAATTGGAAACAGAGGTTGCTTTCTACATGCCTGTAAAAGCAATACATTCTATTTATCATTTCAAAATCGATACCTGTATGTCATCATGATGAGTGTGCCAAACTTCTCGCTTCTGTACCACAGGAAGCCTTTTAGGATAAACCAGCTCTGGACCCTCTCCTCCATGAACTGCCTTTTCTGAAAAGAAGCATAGGGGAAAATACAGATGGCATTAATACTCACCCACAGTGACTGGATAACAGAATTACTCTTACAGAGTTCACTTGCTCCCAATTAGCAGCCATGTACATCACTGTGAAATAGCACCCCTCCTTTACTGGGAAGGACATGGAGACAGGTATTTCCAAATTAGGAAAATATAAGTAAAATTGAGGAGGCAAAGAAATCAGGGTCATTCAGCTCCTTCTATCTTTTAACCTTGTTCGTAGTTGTCACCTTTGTCATCTTATTCTCCTCATGCCTGTCTCTCGATTCTGCTATATGTCGAAACCTGCCCTAGAATGGACTGTTTCCAAGCAAATTGCTGTTTCTATCTCCCAGGGACAGTTGATTTGAAGTTTTAACTCAAGTAGCTTAATAGAAGGCTTCCCTGCTCAACTAAAGAGCCATGTAGAGAAAAGAGCATGGGAGTTTGGTGTCTGTTCTTATTTGAATCAAAGTTTTACCAGCTTATTAGCACTATGACCGTGAGTAGCACACCTAATCTCTCTGATTTCCTTATCTGTAAGTGGAGATCATAATATAAAATTTTAAGCATGCTCATATACAAAGTGGCCCATGGTTAGCACAGTGTCTGCCACATTACAAATATTCAATTCACCCCTGCCTCCTTGCCATTGTAACTCTGGGTATTTTAAGGAGGACACAGCATGCCATAGAATCATAGAATCTCAAGACCAGCTCTAACCTAGTCCAAATCCTAATGCTGTGTTCCCAGCAAAATCATCAATGGATGTTAATGTTTTTATCATTTACAATTTAAGCTTTGTGATTAAAAAGACATTACCTCATTGTATAAGAAAACTCTGGCGAAAGGATTAAGACATACCTTTAACCTGAGAAGTGAGTAAAATCATGAAAAATAACCTCCTGGAAAGCATTCTGAATGATTCTGGTTGAAGACAGGTGCATGTGCTTGAGAAAAAATGTGCACAGTTCTTGGTCTTTGCTTCGGTAGCAAGGATGAAGGGTCAAACAGGCAGAGGCAGTTTTGATCCAGTTCAAGGAAGTGTTCCTTGACCACACTATACAATTTGTGAGGTGCTGGAGGCGAAGACCTGAAGGGCGAACATCATGTACTAATTAAAGGCAACCACTGTGGTGCTGGTGCACGTAGGCTGGGCAGAGATCCCTACTTCACGCCTACTAAAAATGATTCCTGGTGTACTGAAAATTCAAAAACAAAACAAAAAAATCACGTATGCCTTAGAAAAAAAACGATTGAAGAATGTTATATACACTTTGGTAAAAGAAGGTCTTTCTATTCAAAATGCCACGTGTAGAAACTGTAAAGGAAGGCTCGATATAACAAGCTAGATAGAAATATTGAGAACCTTCTACCATTTCTTCTTCTTTCTAAACATGTATTTCTTTTACATTACTCCTCTTTCTGCCCTGCTATCCTAGTCTTAAATTCTTTAATAATGCCACTTCTTGAAAGGTAAGTGTACATTTGTCTCCAGTTCTTCTATCCCCATTTCTCTTGACATTACTCCAATTAGACTTTCATTTTTAACTCAACAAAACACTCGTCAGTATTTTGTTGACCTGCACCTTGTTACATCCAGTGGTCGATTCTCAATGCCACCTAACTCAACCTTTTAGCAGCATGAGACATGGTTTGCCACTTCCAGCCTTTAAAGAGTTTAGCTCATGGTTTACCATGGATCTCCTCCATGCTTACTGTCACTTCTTCTGAGTCTATTTTATTGGATCTTCCTTCTCGCCCCAGTGCCTAAATATTTCAGATTCCCAGGGCTCAGTCCTTGAAACTCCTCTCTTCTTTAAATACAGTCATGAATGATGTGGTTTTCATCTAATCTCATGGCTTTAAATATCATTATACATGATGGCTGCCAAATTTACGTATTTAACCCAAACTTCTCTGAATTTCAAATTCACAGATGCAACTATCTTGTCAACATCTTTACCTGAATATCTAATAGACATCTCAAACACAAGTGCAATGCTGGATTCCTGATAGCCTGGAATTTCCTGATATTTCCACAGCCTTTTCCATCTTCGGGCATTGAAACTCCATCGTTTCAGCTACTCAGGAGTCATCTTCGATTCCTCTTGCCTGCACCATCTGCATCTCGTCCATCAGCAAATCCAGTTGTCTCTATCCTCAAAAGACATTGAGAATCTGACCATCTCTCACTGCATTTACTGCTGCTGTGCTGACCCAAGACATCATCATCTCTGGCCTATTTTATTAAAACAGCCTTTTGATTGACCTTACTGTTTTTCTCTTAGTCCTTCAGTGTATTATTTACATATCATCTAGACTGATCTCATTAATATGCACCACATTATGTGATTCTGCTTCTTAAACATCTTCAGTGGCTTCCCATCTCAGAGGAGCAGCTGAAGACCTGAAATAGTGCATAGGATCTACATGAAACAGCCCCGTGTTCTCTGGCTTTGTGTCTTATGACTCTCCTCGCTCACTCTGATCCTGTCACTGCGCATCCTTGCTATTTATTGAACAGGTCAAGCACATCCTGTTTCTAGTGTCTTTGCTCGTTGTTTCTTCTGCCTGCAACATTCTCCTTCCAGCCACATGTCTTGCTTGTCTCCCTGCCTTCAGATCTCTACTCAAATGTCATCATGTCAGCGAGGTCTTCTCCAAAAACTCCGCTCAAAGTGGGCATTCTCACCTCCATCCTGGTATCTCTGAGCCCTTTGTTGCCTTGCACTAGATGCCATCTGGAATTCTATATATTTACTTGTTTACTTATTTATTGATATTTTTAATTGCCTGCCTCTCCTCTTAAAAATGTAGCTTCATAAAGGCAGGGATTTTTGTCAGTCTTGTCCACTGCTATGTCTTCAATGTCTGGAATGATAGGTTAAGTGATTTTTAGTAGATTAATATATTAATACAGTGCATTTAAGAACTTGGAGAGATAACCAGTAATAGCATCCAATAAAAGTAAACTATAATTAATGTAACTTTTAATTATGAGGAGGTCAGCCAGCACAGTAAATAGGAGTACACATTCAGAGGCAGACCTCCTGGGTTCAGTTCCCAGCACTGACAGTTCCCACCTGTGGACCTGGCACAATATCTGATCTCTCTCTGCCTCAGTTTTCTCAGCCTCCAAAAATGAGCATAATAATAAAAGCTAACTCATAGTGAAGATTAAATGAGGTAATTTATCTAAATCATTGAAAGCAGTGCCTGATGCATATTAAAAGCTAGGTAAGTGTTAATTTTTTAAAGTTTTTATTTATTGAATTGAGGGGGGGGGAGAGAAAGGGAAAAACACTGACTTGTCGTTCCACTTATTTGTGCACTCACTGGTCGATTCTTGTATGTGCCCTGACTGGGGATCGAACCCACAACCTTGGCACAGCAGAACGATGCTCTAACCAACTACACTACCTGGCCAGGGCTGATAAGTGTAAAATTTTAAGAAGTATATTAATGTTGATTTGGTTTTTATTACTTTTTATTTACCAGTTTCATTCGCTTTTCATTTTTCTTTCTTTCTCTCAGTTTCAGATTCTCTGGAATCACTATTATTTATGGTGTCAGGTAAAATGACAAGGCTTTAAGGCATTTGTCTGATGTCTTTGAGCAAGTTATGGCTAAGCTTAATTTCTAGCATATCTAAAATATAAAGATTCAGCATTATCTGTGGTTAACCCGAGTGAAACAACCAAGAGCTTTCAAAGAAGAAAAACATTTATAATTTACTCAAACCACACAATCAGTAAGTGGAAAGCAGAGATTAAAAGAAAATTTCTGCCCACCTCTGCATGCGTTGTTAAACAAATCATACACTGGTGCCTCTTTTTTGAAGGGAAGCAAACATTTTTTCTCATCATTGCTCTATAATTAGTCTTTCAAGTGGCAAATACTACACCTCAATTTCAAACTCTACCAAGTGACTGGTGTAGGGCAGTGTAATATTAGAATATAAATAGCCTATAATTTATTCTCACTCTCAGGTCACAGCTTTCTGTGTCTAAACTAATGTTTGGACTCACAGTGCCCCTTTGATACTGAAATCTGTTTCAGGGTTAAAAAAAAAAAAAATCAGTGAACCCTGAAACAGATTTCAATATCAAAGGGGCACTGTGAGTCCAAATGCCAGACAAAAGTAGGTTTTTACAAAAAATTTTAAATTTTATATTTTTATTGAATTTATTTGGGTGGTATTGGTTAATAAATTTATATAGGTTCCAGGTGTGCAATTCTATAATACACCATCTACACACTGCTTTGTGTGTTCACTACCTCAGATTTTAAAGATTAGACAAGTATGGGGATGTTCTGTTCCCTTCTTATTTCTCTGCTGCAAATCAGTGAAGTGACCTCTCGTAAAAGGTTCTCTAATCTGCTCCCACCTTGGTTTCCATGACCAAGGGTTTGAGGTTGTAGATTCTGCTCATTGCTTAGTGCCAGCAGGATCAGTCCTTTCCAGAATAGTTAACCAGGAGTATTTTTCTTGGAGGCCTCCCAGCTCTAAGCAGAGCTTGCTGCCAGCTCCTTTTGGCTCCCTCACCACCCAGATACCCTTGAGGCTCGGCCTCCCTCTCTCCCTCTCTCCCTCTTTTCCTCGCCTCTGCTCTCTCTCTTCCTCTAGCCAGCAGCGTGGCCAACAGCCCCATGGTGGTGAAAGCACAGGAAGGTGACAGATGATAGAGTTTATGTTTTAAGTCAGAAATAAGAAGCAGCCCACTCTGCAGACCCAAAATGCTTATTCTTGTCCCACCTTTGTAAGAGAAACATGAAGAAAAGGGGAAGTAAATCCAAGTAAATGAAGAAGATTAAAATATTGTATTCAAACTGCAATAGTAATGGCCAAGCTTCACAAAGGAACAAAAAATCAGCATTGTCTGTCCGATCTTAAAAGAAATGTCATTATAAAGTATTCTGAAAACACATTAATTGACTGGAACTCGTAATTCTCCCTGCAGAAACCAATTTCTACCTGTGAATTGTGTTTAAGTGCATTGAAAAGAACATTAGATTCAGAGTCAGGAGCTCTCTGTTCTCCTGTGACTAATTCTGCTCCCTCGGGCCAATTACTTATTTTCTGGGTCCCAGAGTCTTTATTTATAAATTGGGACTGTTAACCTGTCTGATGTCTTAAGACATTTTTTTTAACAGCAGGATGCTATGTTTCCATGCTTTTGCTGATTTCCTTCCCTTTTTCTAAGACCTCTTCATTGATTTGGGGCTTTTATCACTATCATACTTTTTTATGTCTAACCATAGATTTATCAATGAGCATAGTAAATGTCATGGAATAACTACAACAAGAGTCATAAAGGATCAACTCACTCTGCCACCCAAAGGGACAAAGTTATTCCTGGGGAGTGGCAGACCCAAAGTAGATAGAATGTATAGTAATCTCACCTCCGAATTCTGATTAACCCATTACCTAGCTAATGACCTTGAGCAAATTACTTAATATTCCTAGAGTTTTCATTTCCTCATGGAAAACTAGGGCTCATAGTACTTCCTACATAGGGTCACTGTATAGGTTAAGTATGATAATGAAAAATGCATAACACATAAATAACTCTCAGTTTTGTTGAAGGATTGACATTATTTTCCACCTTCGATTTAACTCTGTTTCATAAGAGCCTCATGAAATACACTAAATTTAGTAAGGTCAAAATGGTTTAAACAAGATAGACTTAGAGGCAAATGGTGTCAGAATATAAAATGAAATGCAATATAATAAGATTTTCTCATGTTGGATAAGCAGGCCCAAGGTGACAGCACTGGCTATTCTATTCCTAAATCCCTTATTCCTATAAAACTATGTCACGCCTCCTCCTCAACAAGCTGTCATTTTCTTCATCTATTAACAAATTATAGTAACTCTCTCGACCTCACATGCCCTTTCAGCCACCACAGTAT